GTGACCAAGCAGTGACCACAACTTTGCCCCTTCACACACAAGTAAAATTTTGCTGAAAGTTATTTAAAAATGGTTGCAGCAATATATTGACAAGAAACTTCCAGAAATTCAAGCTGGATCCAGAAGAGGCTGTGGAATGAAGAATATTATTGCTGATGCCAGATGGATCTTGGCTAAAAGCAAAGAATACCAGAAAGGTGTTTACCTGTGTTTTATTGACTGTGCGAAGGCATTTGGCTATGTGGATCATAACAAATTATGGATAATATTGCAAAGAATGGGAATTCCAGAGCACTTAATTATGCTCATGAGGAAGGTGTACATAGACTAAGAGCCTGTCGTTCGAACAGAGAAAAGAGATACTGCATGGTTTAAAATTAAGAAAGGAGTGCGTGAGGGTTGTATCCTTTCACCATACTTATTCAGTCTCTGTGCTGAGCAAATAATCCAGAAGCTGGAGTACATGAAGAAGAACGTAGCATCAGGATTGGAGGAAGACTGGGTAACAACCCGTGATATGCAGATGACACAAACGTTCTTGCTAAAAGTGAAGATGACTTGAAGCACTTACTAATGAAGATCAGAGACTACAGTCTTCAGTATGGATTACACCTTAACTTAAATAAAAAATCCTCACAACTGGACCAATAAGCAACATCACAATAAATGGAGAAAAAAAATGAAGTTGTCAGGGATTTCAATTTACTGAGAATCACAATGAATACCCACAGAAGCAGCAGTCAAGAAATCAGACACCATACTGCACTGGGCAGATCTGCTACAAAAGACCTCTTTAAAGTGTTAAGAAGCAAAGATGTTACTTTGAAGACTAAGGTGTGTTGAACCCAAGCCATGGCATTTTCAGTTGCCTTATATGCACATGAAAGTTGACAGTGAATAAGACTGAAGAAAAGTTGATGCCTTTGAATTGTGGTGCTCGTGAAGAATACTCAAAATACCATGGACTGCCAGAAGAACAAACAAATCTATCCTGAAAGAACTGAAGCCAGAATGCTGCTTGGAAGCAAGAATGGCCACTTTGGTAGTGTGGTCAGAAGGCAGCAATTCCTAGAGAAGGATATTGTGCTTGGTAAAGTGGAGGGTCAGCAAAAAAGGGAAAGAGCATCAACGAGATGGGTTGACACAGTGGCTGCAATGATGAGCTCAAGCAAGCATAGCGAGGAGTGTATGGAATGGAGCAGGATGAGCCATCGTTTCTTCTCTTGTACATTAGGGTCGCTATGAGTCAGGGCCGACTTGACGGCTCCTAACAACAACAGGAACTTACTCAACAGCACCTAACAAAAACCAAAATACTTATCGAGTCCTTAGTATGTTCCCAGAACTAGGTTAAGCACTTAACATATATTGTTTAGTTTGAGCAACAGCTCTATAAGGTAAGAGATATTACTAACTATTGTTAACCAGATGAGGAAGCTGTGACTTACAAATATTTAGTATCTCATAATGGATCACGTATCTGGTTAGCAGTAGACAGAATTCTAAGTGGGATTCCAAATAAGTATGTCTACATCAAGAAGTGCCTTGCAGGCCATGCTAGGGAGTTTGAATTTATATTGGGGAGATAGTGAGAAGCCATTAAAGGATGTTCTACAACTGATGACACCTGAGAAAGAAAGGAGGAAGACAAGGGCTAAGGTGACCAGTTGTAAGATACTGAAGCCATTCAAATGAGAGATTCCCACTCCTAGTGAGTTGATGTCAACTCGTAGTGACCTTATGGGACAGAGTAGAACTGCCCCATAGAGTTTCCAAGACTGTAAATCTTCACAGAAGCAGACTGCCTCATTTTACTCCCATGGAGCAGCTAGTGGGTTCAAACTACTGATCTTTTGGTTAGCAGCTGAGTTAAATGCTTTAATGACTATGCCACCAGAGCTCTTAGATATTACAGGGGTTCAGTACAAGATGGATGACGGCAGTCTCATACCCAGAGGTACTCATGTTGTATAACTTAGATCTTGGAAAGAATTGCATCTCATCTTCATTTATGACAACCTTGGAAGACTCCTTCTTTAGGTCTTAAAGTCTCAGATAGACCCAAAAACCAAAGCATAACATGAGGAAGATTTTTCTTAGTCTAGTACCAAAGAAAGTTGGATATTAGTCCTACAGCATTTGCCCATGTGGTTCCTATAAGAGCCCTAATTAAAAAACCTCACATGGAACCTGGCTCTGTTACCAGCCAGGAGCCACCATCCATAGCTAATTTAACACTCATCGATCAGTACACAATTATCATGGCCATAGTAATTTAAGAGTATTTAACAATCTTTTTGAGCCAGAGAGCAGCGGAATGAAATTGGTATTTTTGAAAGACCAACCTGCCAGGAGTTGGGAAGTTTGGATTTAGAGAGAGGAAGCCAAAAGACTAGGTCTGCCTTGTCTAAAAAGAGGACTCCTCAGCCAGCCATGTGGGGATAGTCCTCAAACCTCTGTTGATTCCAGTGAGTTAAGGTTCACTTCCTACGAGAACTGCTCAGAAAATATGGCTGATATAGGTGGTGGTGGTTGTTGTGTGCCGTCGAGTCGGCTCCAACTCATAGCGACCCCTTCTTGGGTTTCCGAGGCAGTATCACTACGGAAGTAGGTTGCCCAACCTTCCTTCCAAGGAGTGGCTGGTGGGTTTGAACCGCCAGCCTTCTGGTTAGCAGTCAAGTGCTTTTAGCCACTATGCTACCAGAGCTCCTAAATCTTTATAGTATAGGTAGGGGTAGCCAATAAAACAAAAACAATAATCTCAGCCCTTCATTTGTGTAGCTTGGAAGATGCAAAATTGGCAAATAAAATCCTGTCTGCAGTGACAAGTCTCCTCAGCTCCTACCCCTTTAATTTCCGGGGTGCCAGGATCATCTCGGGCTCAGAGGAAGGTGCTTACGGCTGGATTACCATCAACTATCTTTTGGGAATATTAAAGGAGGTAAATATTTCATGGCACCCCTGGGGCAGTTCCCTGGGAGGCCAGTGGCAGTGCTATTTCCCACAGTACTTGGGTCACTAGCTACAACAAATGATGGATTAATGAGTGAATAAACAAATGAATTTGTCCCCACGTTGGTAAGAGTCACCAGAGGTAGAATTCTCTTACAAGAACTTCTACTACTGGAATAACGAAGCCTTATCTTTACTTTAAGAAACCTATGTTTAGTGATTTGTGTTTAGGAGACATAGAGGAAATTTAAAACTAAAAATAAGAATAGCCAATATTTGCCTAGTGCCATGTGTCCTGTGCTGTGCTGTGCACTTTACATGTATTAGCTGATTTCATTCTCAGAAAAACCTTATGTATGAGGTGCTATTATTACCCACAGTTTAGAGCCCAAAATTGAGGCCTCGACAGAGTAATTAATCTCTCCAAGGTCACGTGGCTAATGAGCACTTGCGTAGGGGATTTGAACCTAAATCTGTTTGGTCATAGAGCTCTTGTTTATAAACTAGTCTATTGTAAACTACCCTATACTACTTTTGTGTTGCTGCAGTCTGAGCTGTCTTTGAAGCCCCTCATTTCTTGCCATTGATCTGATGCAGACTCAGGACCCTCCAGTGAGTTTTGCCTCATTGTGCCCCTGTTCCTTTGTCTTCTGAAGTTCCTGAGATCAAGAAATAGTGTGAAGGGGCATGTCCAGAGACCTCTAGCACCCAGTGGCTGTACTCTCTTTCAGAAACAATATTCTAAAGACCCGTCTTTGGAAAAAAATGAGAGTCAGGAAACCTATGGAGCCTTGGACCTTGGGGGAGCCTCCACGCAAATCACTTTTGTGCCCAAAACAGTCACTAAAAACACTGCAAGCAAACTTATGAAATTTCGCCTCTATGGCAAGAACTACAGTGTATTCACACACAGCTACTTGTGCTATGGGATGGATCAAGCACTCTTACGGAAACTGGCCAAGGACAGTAAGGCAAGTATAACTAAATCCGGACCTGCCCTCTCCACATCTGGGGCACCAGCCCCCACATCCTCTTGTTTTCTCTTTCTAATACAATAATTCTTCAGAAGTTGGTTAGCGTACTTTCCAAACCTCTTTCCCAGTCTGGTACCAAGGAAAGTTGGATATCTGTCCTGTGTCATTTGCCCATGTAATTCCTACTGTTGTTGTTAAGTGCCGTCGAGTCGGACCCAACTCATAGCGACCCCTCCTTGGGTTTCCGAGGCAGTATCACTACGGAAGTAGGATTGCCCAACCTTCCTTTCGAGGAGTGGCTGGTGGGTTTGAACCGCCAGCCGTCTGGTTAGCAGGCAAGTGTCTTAGCCACTATGCTACCAGAGCTCCTAGAGCTCCCACTAGAAGCCTAATTTCAGGCAGGATATCTTATACATCTGGTCAACTCCTAATTGTTCCATCCAGATATCACCTCTTGTGTTTGTTTATTGCATTATCTTCAAGGATACTACTCAAATGCTTTCTTAGGAAATAATTTCTCATCGCCAATCCCTGTGGGGTTCGCAATGAAAATTATATGCTAGAATATTGTTGAGGGTGTGTGAAATTGATAAGGTCTTCTAGATCACTTTTTAATCTCTATTTCCAACAAATTTCAGAAGACAGTGTTGTTAGAAAAAAAAAATGTGGAAGAAGAGAAAAAAGACTTCTGGGAAAACAGAGTTTATCAATCAACACTTCAAATCTTGCCCCCAGATATATTCCGCATTTTGCAGACAAGAGAAGCTAAACATGCTAACATCAAGCAAGTACCAGGCATACTCTGACAGGGAAAAAAAAAACAGAGCAAGGGTGTCACATCCAGCTGTTCTTGTCTTCACTGAGGGGACAGCCAGTTCTCTGCTCACCTCTAAAACTCATTAAGAGTTCTTAGAATCTTTCAATAAGATGACCACCATGGGAAGTGGCTGTTGAGAGTGGCCCACTGAACCCCAAGGCTCCAATAGGACTCGTATCCACAGCAGCCCCCTTTCTTCTTTCATATATATTGGGGGTGGGCTAAAATTCATTTTTATACTTCTGGGTCAAATGATCTTGGAGCTTCTAATTTTCTGCCTGGAATGGGAGTATGCAGGCTCCTGTAGGTAGGACTACCCCAAGCTCAAAATTTGAGAGTTTTTTGAGTGAATCTCCTCATTTATATACTTAGGGCTAAGCACCAGGGACATTCGAGGCTAACGGCATCTCTAGGTCCGGTTTTCTGTGAGTAGCCAAAGTACATTTATATAGTGTATAAATAGTGTATAGATAGTGTATAGATAGTATATAGATAGTGTATCTGGTGCCTGTTATACAAATCTGATTATTCGCAGGGGTGAAAAAGGCAGGGTAAGGACATATTGATGTCATTGCTCCATGGTGGGATGTTGTAAGATGGATGAAAAAGTCAGGGCAGGAACATATTGATGCCTGTACTCGGTGCTAGGATATTGTAAGATGCATACACATTGGTGAAGTCAGACTGTTGCCTTTTGTACCCAATGCATTCACATGCAATGCCTTCAATTGATTTTTCCATTCAGAATGCAGTATTGGAAGCCTACATGGAACCATGCTTTCACCCTGGATATGAGAGGACAGTGGACTTACATGAAATTTACAACACAACCTGTGCCTGGACTTTTAAGGTTTGGTTACCATTCAATAAGATAAGAATCCAGGGCAGTGGAAACTTTGAAAAATGCCTGCAAAGTATCAATGAGCTCTTCTCCATCAGTTATTGCCGTTACACCAGTTGTGCCTTCAATAGTGTTTCCAGGCCTTCAGTCCATGGGAAATTTGGGGTAAGTTTGTGAAATAATTAGATATATTGGTTAGGATAATTTTGGCTACAAAGGGTTTAAATAATAGCATCTTTTTTTTTTTTTCCTCCACATAATGATAAATCTGAGTTGATAGTTCAGGGTTAGTTCTCCAGATCAACAATATCAGGACTTGAGAGCCTCTTCTCTGTTATCTTCTTGGCTTTCTTGTGGTGTTAAAATGGAAGCTCCTGTTCTATGCAACTTATCTTCACATGCAAAGCCAAAACAAGAAAGAAGGAAGTTTCTCTCACACATACCTCTCTCCCATGTTTTAGAGATGTCAGCAAACATCTTTTCAATTCTCAATTGGCAGAATTTGGTGAAAGGCACATGTCTAAACCAATCTGTGATACGGGGGAATGGATATGATAGTGGTTTTAAAATTGCTATTGCTCATGCCTTGGAACTGAGAATTCTTTCTGTGAGCACATTGCTTCCCTATACCTGGGCAAAATCAGGATTTTGTAAGTAAGGAAGAAGGGGGCTGGCTGTTGGATAGGCAGCCATCAGGAAATGCTGCAGATAACTTCTCAAATGTCAGAAGAAGAAGCAGCAATTGGATGACTCGGCTGAGGGTTTTCCTCCATGAAGACATTTTTTGTTGTTGTTATGTGCCGTCGAGTCAGACCCGACTCATAGCGACCCCTCCTTGGGTTTCCGAGGCGGTGTCACTACGGAAGTAGATTGTCCAACTTTCCTTCTGAGGAGTGGCTGGTGGGTTTGAACCTCCAGCCTTCTGGTTAGCAGTCAAGTACCTTAGGCACTATGCTACCAGAGCTCCCATGAAGACATTTAGGAAGTAAAAACTCACGGAATCCCAGGGAAACACTGGCAACAGCATCATTTTCATTACATTCTGAAGATTTGGGGGATTCTTTGGGTCCCAGCTCCAAATCCTTCTTTTTTTAATTACTCCAGAATGAGAGAAAATACTGAGCAGAGGCAAGAGAGACACCCTTTTATCTCATTAGTCAAATTTCATATTTTGGTCCTAGGAACCAGTCATTATTGTAATCATAGTTCAGTAATATATTGCAATATTAGCTCTATCATCTACCAAGTGCCAGTTATTGACTAAGCACTCTGTACATACACACTGCCTAATTCAGTCATTTGAGATATCATTCAAAGAAGCAAGGGCTTTTGTCCATTACACTCTTTTCCCCTTTTCTGAAAATTGATCAGGTATAAGAGAGGAAGGGGTGGATGACATCACGTAAAGAAAGATGATCAGCTCTACTTCAGGACCTCAGAAAGAGTCCCTCCCAGTGTCCCAGAGAGAGCTCGGTAGAGAGAGCACAGGTCTAGAAATCAGACCTTACCTTCTGGCTTTGCTGCTTGTGACTGTATGATTTCTCCATTCCCTTTGTTTCTGGGAAACAAAGATGGGTAGTGCTGTGGGTCCAGACTTACTTGGGCTTACCATGACCCAGACCACAGCTCCCCTCCCCTTAAGGTTCCTAAGAGAAATACATGACACTGCCCAAAGGAAATGACTTGGTTATTAACCAAAAGCAAATCCACTGCAGTTAAGTCAATCCTGACTCCTAGGGACCCTATAATAGGACATAGTAGAACTGGCCCATAGGGTTTCCAAGGCTATAAATCTTTATAGAAGAAGACTGCCACACTGTTTTCCCATGGAGCAGCTGGTGAGTTTGAACCTCTGACCTTTTGGTTAGCAGCTGAGCACTTCAGCCACTGCACCACCAGAATAAGTACTTTGTTATTAGTTGGCTCCAAGCCCCAGATTGAAACAAACCAGAGCCTCATCTAAGACCCTATTACTGAGCTGCCATTAGCTATCCACCTTGGGCTTTCTTGGGCCAGAGCCCTTACTTTGAATCAAGCTGCTGGAAGAGAAAGGAGAGTGCCACAAGAGAGATTCAGGTTGGCCAAGGCTGCTGGAGACAGCTCTTTCCATTCCAGTGACTGCTAGGAAATCAGTCTGAAGGAAAAGGAACATACCCTTGTGTGTTGTCTTTTGAATCCCTTTGAAAGCCCTGCCGCTCGAGAGAAACGTAACCCCATTTCTGTCTTCAGGCTGAAGCAGAGTTTTCCTCCTTGGGTGGAGGTGGAGGAATGGAATTTCTTGCCTTTGAGTGTGATTCATCCAACCAGGGTAGGGAGAGATGTTGTTGTTGTTACGTGCCGTCGAGTCAAACCCGGCTCATAGCGACCCCTCCTTGGGTTTCCGAGGCAGTATCACTACGGAAGTAGGATTGCCCAACCTTCCTTCCGAGGAGTGGCTGGTGGGTTTGAACC